TGCTTACATTTGCCCTCATTCGTGTGGATTCCTTGCCACTGCTCCCTTCCATCTGTCCCCAGCGTGGAGCCCTGGTCCTTTGTCACAGCTCTGCCTGCCTGACCCTCCCTGTCGGCTCTGTGATTGTTTCCTGTCCTGCCGGGCTCACATCCCTGTCCCCCACATGCTGTCATTGTCCCCTTAGCTGAGAACAGCACGGAGCCCAAACCCAGCCCCAATCCCAGCCCCAATCCCAGCCCCAATCTCAGCCCCAATCCCATCCATGCCACACGCCTGCCCGAGGTCTTTTCTGCACAGGAGAGCGAGCCTGGCTCCAGAGGCAGAGCTCGGGTCACTGCGGAATTCCACGGAGCTCCTGCAGCCCGGGGTGATGCACGGGGAGGCATTTTCAGCTCGATGCTCGCTGTGAACACCCCCCCTGTCTTTTCCACGCGATGCTCTGGTGATATCCCTGGGGAAATGGTGGCATCTCGGTTAATCTTCCTAAGATGGAATCTCCCTCTTTGGAGAGGGAGGGAGCAGCACAGGAGAGGGGCAGGGAAATGTCTGCCAGCGGTGGGGCAGGGACAGCCCACCCTGCCAGGGCTGCCAGAGGGCACGGGTGACCTCTCGGGGATTTATGCAGCTCTCCTTGGGATGCACCTTTATTATTTATTATAATTTATCCTACAGTTGAGTTGTGCCTTTTTCCTATAGTTGAGTTGTGCCTGGCTCACTGAGGTCCTGTCCTCTGAGTTTCCTGGAGCTGACAGCACGCCACTGCGTGACCACTGCTCCACATGGGCTGTTTGCAAACTTTACTCAACAAAGCATCACAAATGCACCTCAGGGTGCAAACTCCGGGGAGTAACCCATGAGCTATGCTGCGTTTGGCAAGGGGTGGATTTGGTTTGGATTTGGGGATTTTCCCAGATCCTTCTTTGTGGCATTTCCGTTCCCCAGGAATGTGGAATTCCAGTTTCAGGGATGGCTTGAGTGCAGCAGCGCCGTGATGTGGAGCGCTGAGAGGGAATTTTGTGGGAGCACAAGGCAGGAGACAGCGATTCCTGCTCCAGAAATGGGAAATGAGGCTCGGGGAGCTGAGGTGGCTCTGAGGAGCTCAAAATCACAGCAGGAGTTGACAGTGAAGTTCTGATTTACCAGCGTGTGTCCCGTGCTGCTGCCAAGACCCTCTGAGGGGCAGCGGGCTCTCGGCTGTGCCAGGGGCTGTGTGGGGCTGCACTTGGCCAGGGCTGTGCCCGGTGCCCGTATGGTGCCATGCCCGTGCTGTGCCATGCCTGGTGTCCATGCAGTGCCATGCCTGTGCTGTGCCCGGTGCCTGTGCTGTGCCATGCCTGGTGTCGTGCCCAGTGTCCATGTGGTGCCGTGCTGTGCCCGGTGTCTGTGCTGTGCCTAGTGTCCCTGCGGTGCCATGCCCATGCTGTGCCCAGTGCTTGTGTGGTGCCGTGACCGTGCTGTGCCATGCCTGGTGCTCACACGGTGCCCGTGCTGTGCCTGGTGTCCACGTGGTGCCATGCCCGTGCCGTGCCTGGTACTTGTGTGGTGCCATGCCTGCTGCCCACGTGGTGCTGAGCCCAGTGCCTGTGCAGTGCTGTGCCCATGTGATGCCATGCCCCATGCCCACGCGGTGCCGTGCCCCTGCTGTGCTATGCCCGGTGCCCACATGGTGCCACGCCCGGTGCTTGTGCGGTTCCGTGCCCCTGCTGTGCTGTGCCTACCGCCTGTGCAGTGTCGTGCCCATGCCATGCCCAGTGCCCACATGATGCCATGCCTGGTACCCATGTGGTTTCATGCCCGTGCTGTGCTGTGCCTACCGCCTGTGCAGTGTCGTGCCCATGCCATGCCCAGTGCCCACATGATGCCATGCCTGGTACCCATGTGGTTCCATGCCCCTGCTGTACTGTGCCTACCGCCTGTGCAGTGTCGTGCCCATGCCATGCCCAGTGCCCACATGATGCCATGCCTGGTACCCATGTGGTTTCATGCCCGTGCTGTGCTGTGCCTACCGCCTGTGCAGTGTCGTGCCCATGCCATGCCCAGTGCCCACATGATGCCATGCCTGGTACCCATGTGGTTCCATGCCCATGCTGTGCTGTGCCTACCGCCTGTGCAGTGTCGTGCCCATGCCATGCCCAGTGCCCACATGATGCCATGTCTGGTACCCATGTGGTTTCATGCCCGTGCTGTGCTGTGCCTACCGCCTGTGCAGGGTCGTGCCCATGCCATGCCCAATGCCCACATGGTGCCATGCTTGGTGCCCGTGCGGTTCCATGCCCCTGCTGTGCTGTGCCCACTGCCTGTGCGGTGTTGTGCCATGCCATGCCCAGTACCCATGAGGTGCTGTGCCTGGTTCTTGTGCGGTGCCGTGACCCTGCTGTGCTATGCCCGGTGCCCATGTGGTGCTGTGCCCAGTGCCCGTGCGGTTCCATGCCCCTGCTGTGCTGTCCCCGGTGCCTGTGTGGTGCAGTGCCGTTCCTGTGCCATGCCCGGTGCCCAAGTGATGCTGTGCCCGGTTCTTGTGCTGTGCTATGCCCCTGCTGTGCAGTGCCCAGTGCCTGTGCGGTGCCATGTCTGTGCCATGCCCCATGCCCCTGCGGTGCCATGCCCAGTGCCTGTGTGGTGCTGTGCCCCTGCAGTGTCCCTCCTGTGCCATGCCCGGTGCCCATGCCATGCCATGCTTGGTGCCCCTGCCGTGCCATGCCCGCTGCCAATGCGGTGCTGTGCCCCATGCCCCTGTGGTGCTGTGCCCATGCCGTGCCATGCTTGGTGCCCATGTGGTGCCATGTCTATGCTGTGCCCCATGCCCCTGCAGTGCTGTGTCTGTGCCACGCCCAGTGCCCACGTGGTGCCATGCCCCTGCAGTGCTGTGCCCCTCCTGTGCCATGCCCGGTGCCCATGCCGTGCCATGCCTGGTGCCCGTGCTGTGCCATGCCCACTGCCCATGTGGTGCTGTGCCCCATGCCTCTGTGATGCTGTGCTCATGCCGTGCCCGTGCGGTGTTGTGTCTGTGCTCTGTCCCATGCCCCTGCCGTGCCCCTGCTGTGCCATGCCGGGTGCCCACGTGGTGCCATGCCCCATGCCCCTGTGGTGTCGTGCCCATGCCATGCCCGGTGCCCATGCGGTGCCAGCACTGTGAGCACAGCTGGTCGGGCTGAGCGCGCTCCCCGCCGGGCACTGCTGGATGCAGCGGCTGCCCTGGCACCTGTGAGCCCAGGGAGCTGTTTGTGCCAGCTCTCGTGGCACCAGGCTGCTCCAGTGCCACAGGTGTGGGTTCAGCTCTTGCTGGCATCCCAGGGGGCACCCCGATGTCACCAGCCTGTGTCTCACCAGAGGCACTGAGCATGAGTGGCAGCCCTGAGCTCCCGGCCTGAGAGGTGCTGTTATTTATCAGGATCTGTAGAAATAATAAAATCCAGCCCGGGAGCTGAGGAATCTGCATTTGGTGGTTGCAGAGGCAGCGTTTGCAGGTCACTGTGTGTTGAAGTGTGGTGTCAGTGGGGTGTGTGGAGGAAAAGCTGCTGGTGTCAGGTAATCAGAGGAAAATGGTCTTTTCTGGGGAGGGAAGGTGGGGTAGGAGGTGTTGGGGGACCTCAGAGAGGTCCCAGTGCTGTGTCCTCATCCTCTGGTTCTGTCAGACACCCAAATCCTCAGGAAACCGCAGCAAAGTGCTCACCTCGCTTCATCTGCACTGGAGAATCACAGGTTTTAACTTTCCTCTGAGATCTGAGCTCAGAGCACACCTCCTGCAGAGGAACCCCCAGCCTGCCCTGGAGCTTGTGCCAGAAATGCCTTGGGGCACCAAGTGAGGCTTCTTGAGGGGCAGGACAGCAGCAAGGAGGGCTCCAGGTGTGGTTTACAGAACTGTGCCACATCTGTAAGAACTCTTAGTTGTTGATGGCATCCTGGTGTCATCTGGGAACCTGAAGCCAACCAGCTGGATCAAGACGCTCCAAAAAAATCATTTGGAAGCCAAAACACACTGGAAAGTCTTTTGCCCTTTTTGGGAAAGCAGAAGGCTGTTTTCTGAGCTGTGGGGAGCTGGGGAATGGGCTTGGTGGGTTCTAGGATTTGGGGAATGGGCTCGGTGGGTTCTAGGATTTGGGGAATGGGCTCAGTGGGTTCTGGGATGTGGATACTGGTACACAGAAGCACCACTTGGCCAGGGATCTCAGGAGAGGGTCTGAGCACCTGGAGCAGGAGTCTTTGCACACGCCTGCTGTGGGGCTCACAGGAGGGCAGCCCTGCCCCATTTCTTGCTGTTTCAGCCCCAAAGCAAATCCTGGCCTCCTGCTACCCTTGGCCATCTAGCTCTGCTGGCATTTGCAGTCCTGCCATATCTGCAGTGGGGAGGCCCAAACTGCTGCATCTCTGCAACTCCCCTCCAAACTTGTCCCCCTGAAGTTCATGGTATTCACCCCAAAACCTCCTCAGTAGTACCAAAATCCTCTGGAGTCAAGGTGACTCCCCTTGGGAGCTGGCACAGGGTGGCCAAAGGCTCCACATTGGCAATCCAGGCTGTGGGACCAGCATCTCTCTGTTCTCCTGTGGCCTCCAGGCTGCCCCATGAGGGCATCAGCCCTGTCCCCAGAGCCCAAGGATGACCATTGTCACTGGGGGGCCACCCTGGGGCTCTGGGGACAGGCCTTGTCACAGAGACCACTGACACCTGGGGCGGATCCCCCATTGCTCCGTGGTGTTGGGGTGGATGGAGGGGAGATCTTAAGGGATGACTGCTGAGGGAAGGCAGTCGGGGGGGTTGGTGTGGTGGGCTGCAGCACACAAAATGGTGATCCCTGTTTTGGGGGATGAGGGAGCATGGCACTCCTGAGGGAGGGAGTCTGGGAATGGTGAGGGTGGACTTCCCTCTGGCATTTCCCCTTAGGGTTAGGGGCCTTTCCCTTGTTCCAGGTCCTGCACAGTGGCTGCCAGGTGGCACAGGAGATTGTGGCCTGGTGGGGCAGCCTCGTTAACTGCTGTGCCTTCTTCTCTCTCTTCCCAAGGCTGCAAGATCAAAGCCCTGCGGGCAAAGACCAACACCTACATCAAGACCCCGGTGCGAGGGGAGGAGCCGGTCTTCATGGTGACGGGGCGGCGGGAGGACGTGGCCATGGCCCGGCGGGAGATCATCTCGGCGGCCGAGCACTTCTCCATGATCAGGGCCTCGCGCAACAAGGCGGGCACCACCTTCGGCAGCGCGCCCACCCTGCCGGGGCAGGTCACCATCCGCGTGCGCGTGCCCTACCGCGTGGTGGGGCTGGTGGTGGGCCCCAAGGGAGCCACCATCAAGAGGATCCAGCAGCAGACCAACACCTACATCATCACGCCCAGCCGGGACCGGGACCCCGTCTTCGAGATCACCGGCGCGCCGGGCAACGTGGAGCGCGCCCGCGAGGAGATCGAGACGCACATCGCGGTGAGGACGGGCAAGATTCTGGAGTACAACAACGAGAACGACTTCCTCTCCAGCAGCCCCGACTCCGGCATGGAGAACCGCTACTCGGAGGCCTGGCGGGTGCACACGCCGGCGCCGGGCTGCAAGCCCCTCTCCACCTTCCGCCAGAACAGCCTGGGCTGCATCGGCGACTGCTCCGTCGACCCCGTCTACGAGACCCCCCGGCTGAACGACCAAAACGACTTCAATTACGGTTACCTCTTCCCCAACTACGGTGTGAACAAGCAGGATTTGTACTACGGGGTGCCGGAGTCGGGCGCCCCGATGTGGGCCGGGCAGGAGAACACCAACCCCGTCTCGGTGCTCTTCTCGAAGCAGCAGCGCTCCAGCAGCACCGGCGCCATCCACCCCAACTCGCACCGCTCGCCCTCCTCCTCCATCCCCGAGCCCGGCCTGTCCGGGCTGCCGCGGCGGTCGCAGGGGGAGCCCCTGCAGGGCTTCTCCAAGCTGGGCACGCCCGCCGCCGCCCGGACGTCGGTGGGCAGCAGCCGCGAGTGCATGGTGTGCTTCGAGAGCGAGGTGACGGCCGCGCTGGTGCCCTGCGGCCACAACCTCTTCTGCATGGAGTGCGCCGTGAGGATCTGCGAGAGGACTGATCCCGAGTGCCCCGTCTGCCACGCGGCAGCCACTCAGGCCATTAGAATATTTTCCTAAAAGAGACAGAGCAGGGCATTTGGGGGGGGGGGTGGGGGTAGGAAGGGAGAGCGGGTGGGATGAGAGAAAAATGATGATGATAATAATAATAATGATAATAATAATAATAATAATAATGACATCTGAAGAACAAAAAAAAAAAGAATGAAAGAATAAATTAATTTAAAGAAGAAGAAGAAGAAGAAAAAGAAGAAATGAAATTATTTTACAAGCAATGTATGTTATTTTTTAAAAAAATAATAAGTGAATAATAAAATTAAAATGAATAGCAAAGCCAGAAATTTTGAAGGGCGAACAATGCTCCAGCCTGCAATGTCTTTTGTAAACCAAGTACTCAGAACGCACACTCGGATCTCGCAAGCAAAGCAGTTTAGTTCAGTTTTTTTTGGTGGTGAGATTGGGACTTCTTGGCGATGACCAAGCCAGGCCACCTGGATCGACCGGGGAGGGAGCAGGGATGCAGGGAGGGCCCTGCCAGCCTTTCTCCAGCCACCTTCAACCTTTGTCTTGGCTTGAAGCCCCCACTCTCCTCCCCCCAGGGTTGTCGGCCCAACTGGGAGCTCAGAAAGAAACAACAGAAAGAAAGGAAAACGTATGACAGGGATTTGGAAGAACAAGAAAGAAACCATCAACCTCTGGGAACCTGTTAGAACGAGGGCACAACTGTATTACCTCAAAGATTTAAACAAAAAAAAAAATCACAGCTAAAGAACTTTTATTGTTTTCCTTTTTTTCTAAAAAAAACCCAAACAAAAAACACAAAAAAAAGAAAATCAAAAAAAAGAAGGTGAAGAAATAAAAAAACGACGCCCGTGAAACTGAAGAAGGTTTGGAAGAACCTACTGGGATCACACCAGGCGACGAGCATTTATTTTGTTATTCTGAGCCACCGTGGAGTCTGGAACTTTGTTCTTTTTTCCTTATCCAAGCAGGGATTTGTTCATCAGTCCAATCAGGAGTCACTAACAGGGTATTTCCAAAGCATTCCCGTCCATGGGGGGAGTGCATCGACTTCCACGTTTCCGTAGGTCACTCTTCATTCTTTCCTCCAAGTGATGCCAGCTGCAGCTACACACACCACACACACACACACAGAGAACATTGTGCTTTTCTTTTCTTAAAAAACATACCTATTGCACCAAAACCTAAGAGAGACGATCATGCAATACAGGCAAATGAGCCCATGTGAAACCAACATGCATCCCAACAGAGAGCAAAAAAAAAAAAAACCCTGAGTTTATAGAGATAATTTTGTTGTCGTCGTTTTTAAACTGGACCAAAACTTTTGTTACCCAAACCAAGTAGGGGAAAAAAAAAAACAAAAAAGAAGAAAAAGTATTTCTTTATGGACCAAAACCTCTTCAGCTGTCCTTTTCCTGGATCTTCCTGAGGTTGGCCACTTTTATATATTATATTTTTTTCAGAACGAAACAAAACAGAAAAAAAATTGCCTTGTTGAACATCCTTTAATCATTTCAAGACTCCTGGTTTTGTTAAATGAGATACTTTAAAACCATTGGGAAGTGGGAGAGGATGGGCTTCAGATCTGGCTCCCGTGCCAACGCATGCAAGGTGCAGGCCAGCACCTTCACTCCATCAGGTTTGTTCAGCTGGTCTGTGGATGCCAAAATGCTGTGATGTTAAAAATGTGTTGGATTGACCTATTGAGTACCAGTACACCCAGCTATAAATATATGTGTGTATATATATATATAGGCACTTAATTAATCAAGCACCTATATATATATATATGTGTGTATATAAACCCATATATATAATTTTTCTCCCACTACCACCACTTCCCCATTTCCTACCCCTCAACTTCTGCTCACAGATCCTGGACCCTGATTTAGAACTGAACCAACAAGTTTCACAACTTGGCACAGACAGTTCTAACATCCAAAAAAAAAAAAACCCAAACAAACAAACAAAAAAAAAAATCACCTGAGATTTTTTTTTTTATTCCCTTCAGTTACAGGAGACTTTCTTTTCATCGTGGTAATGTTCCTGGGAACATCCTCCCTTCTGCTTGGTTTGCTGCCTGTGCCCTGGCACAGCGGGCTCAGGGGCACAGTCACTGAAGGGCTGAGCTCACTGTGCTGGGGCAGGTGCTGCTGGTGCTCTGTGCTGATAAAAACCCACTTTTGATCTTCAGATACCAGTTGGAGGGTTGGAAATGGTGGTGGGATGACGGGATGCCTCCACTCTTTTGCATCGACAGTCATGTATTCCGTAGGGGCGGATTGGAGGGGTGGACAATGTTCCCAGGCTGTAGTGGATGCTGATGTTTTGGAAGCTGTAAAGACAAAAGTTAAAATGCTGCGGCAATGGGACACTGTCAGGCAGGATTGGTACTCCCCTCTTCCCCAAAGCTGTAGGAAATCCCTGGCCAGGCTGTTGTCCCAGCCCTGCAGCCTTTCACACCAGGAGAGGGGTGGGATGCCAACACTTCCTGGGGGAAGGCGCCGTGTTCTGCACCCTCTGGTGTGGGGCCTGTGGGGTGATGGGGTCTGGGGTGCTCTGGATGAACCCCCAGAGCCCCCATGTCCCGAATTTTCCTGGGGCACAGCCTGTCCTCAGCAAAGGAGCCCCGGCCAGCGCTGGCCGCATCCTTCCTAAAACTGCCCCATTCTCATTCAAAATCTGGCCTCAGTTTGGTCCCAGTTAAGGAAGGGAAGGGAAGGGCAGGGCGAGGGGGACATGGCCGTTCCCTGGGAACCTCTCCCCTCCCCAGTGCCCCCTCCTCCATGCCGTGCCGCCCTCCCCGCCCCAGGGCTGCACCGGATCCCTTCGTGGCGTGGAATTCTCCCGCTGGTGTAGAGAGAGTGGTGGAAGCACGAGCTGGGGGGCGGGGGGTGGGGGTCGGGGGGTGGGCAGGGGGCTCAGCCACCCTTCGGAGGGGCGTTCAGAAACGTTGGTGTTGGTGCTGGAGGGGCTGAGCTGGGGGCTCGGCCGCTGTGTTAGTGAGTGAGTAGTCGTTCTTGGCTGAGTGGAGTCTGTTCGTGGTAATGTGAGCAAGTTCTTGATCAATGTCTTTATTCGATGCCAGGTTGTGAAGAGGTGGGTGGGAGTGGGGAGGGGGGAAGGAGACCCCTGTGTTGGGGACCTGGGGTGGGGGGACCTGTTCTAGCACTGACTGTAGGGGGTGGGGAATGGGGAAGGTACAGGGGGCTCAGCTCTGCTCCTTGTAGCTCCTCCCTCACCTTAACAAGAGAAAACGATGTAAAAGCCTCCTGCATGCTGAAAAAAAAAAATGTTAGAGAAAAAGACAAAACCCCTTTCTTTAAAAAATAAAAAAAAAAAAAAGAAAAAAGAAGGGAAAAAAAAAAAAGAAGAATCATGACCCAAACAAACGTCCAATGCTTGCTGTTGGGAACCGGAGTGGGGCTGTCCTGGGGGGGCTGCCCCTCTCTGCAGATGAGGTTCCTACTCAAGTCTCCAAGTTGGCCTTTAATAAAATCTTCAGTTCCAATAACCTTTATATATATATATATATATACACATATATATATACATATACATATATATTAAAAAAAAAAAAAAAGCTTGATGTAGCAGTTCTAGTTTAAAACGAATAGAAGTATTTCGGCCCCTGTTTTTATTTTGATTTTTTTTCCCCCTGTCCCCTGCTTCCCGCTGTACCCCCCACCGACTCCATATTTTGATGTAGCAACTTTGGAAGAAAGAAAAAACAGGCGCTGTAAATGCACCGAGAGCTACCTCTGCCTCGAGTGGGGGCTGCAGGGAACTCGGGGGGCTCATGGGGCACCCAGAGAGGGGCAGCCCGGGCCCTGCCTGTTGGCATCCATGGGGAGCCCGGTTGCGGGGCTTGAACAACAAAAATTTGCGTAATTTTTTTTTTCCTCTTTTTAAATATATGTATATATATAAAAATCTTTAAAAAAAAAATAATAAAAACAAAAAACAAGAAAAATGCCCATGACCTTAACTATTTGCTCTGACTTGTATCTTCCTTGATAGGTGACTAAAAATGGCTTGTTGGTCTAATTCACCAGCAATAATGATAACTAAATACAGCCCCCTCCTCCTGCACCCATCCCTTTTCTGCGGCGCCCACCGAGCCGGGTCCTTGCGCTTCTCCCCTTCCCTCCCACCTCGAGGATGCCCTTGGTGACCCCTTGTTGCAGTGTGAACCAACTGGCCTGAACCTGGCTGGCTTCAGCTGCCCCACGATCCCTCCCAGGCTTTTGGGATACCCCTTTGGGGTGCTGAAGCCGTGGGGGGCTGGAGGGAGGCAGGTGGAACTGGGACCCCTACGCCAAACTGGGTCTTCCTCCCTCTGGAGTAGGAGCAGCAAGACCCTTGTGGGAAGCCTGGTCCCTGAGACCTCCATCCTGCAAAATCACGTCCCAGCAAAGCAGGGTGGGTTCCTGGGAGTGATGACAGGACAGTGGCACCCCCGAGGGGGGCTGATGCCAGTGGGTGCTGCTGGATTCCCCTTGGCCTGGCTGGGGTATGGGGAGATCCTTGGGGTTTGCATTTGCTGGAGCTGGGGTGGGGACCGAGGTGACCCGTGCCATGCTGTGATATGTGTGGTGATGGTGGTGGCGATATTTGCAAGGCAGTGACACGAGGGCACACGCAGTGGCACTGAGGGCAGGTACCCAAAACCCAGGGCTGGGAGCAGAGAGGGCAGAGCTGCGCTGGAAGGCGCTGAGCTGCTGGCAGGACATGGCCAGGTGAGGGCAGGACACGTCCAGGTGTAAGCAGGACACATCCAGGTGTGGGCAGGACATGGCCAGGTCTGAGCAGGACACGTCCAGGTGTGGGCAGGACACGTCCAGGTGTGGGCAGGACACGGCCAGGTGTGAGCAGGACAGGTCCAGGTCCAGGCAGGATGTGTCCAGGTGTGAGCAGGACATGTCCAGATGTGGGCAGGACAGGTCCAGGTTTGTTCAGGACATGTCCAGGTATGGGCAGGAGGTTTCCAGGTCCAGGCAGGATGTGTCCAGCTTTGTTCAGGACATGTCCAGCTTTGTTCA